CCTCTGTAAAGGCACATACAGGAATATACAACAGAGGAAAGATACATTATCAGTTGAAAACTGTATGTTTATCAGAGATGGAAACCAGTATTACCAATTGCCATTGTCATGTTAAATTTATATTACAATCTGTCTATATTTGTTTTCAGACATCTAACCCAGCCTTCAGGAAAGCAGACTTGTGTGTGACCAGAAGATTTAGTGATTTTCTAGGACTGTACAGTAAACTACATGAGAAACACACGAAGACGGGCATCATTGTGCCCCCAGCTCCTGAAAAAAGTGTCTTAGGTAAATGATACCCAATATGTTACTTAGGTTGATACTGCCCATTGTGTGTCTTAAGTAAATGTTGTCCATTGTATGTGTTAGGTAAATGCTGTCCATTGTGTGTCTTAGGTAAATGCTGTACCTTGTCAATCTTAGGTAAATACACCCCTTGTCCATCTTAGGTAAATACTGTTCATTGTCTGTCTTAGAAAAATACCATCTATTGTGTGTCTTAGGTAAATGCTGTCCAATGTTAATCTTGGGTAAAAGCTGTCCTTTTTGTCCATCTAAGTTAGGTAAATGCTGTCCTTTGTCCATTTAAGTTATGTAAATGCTGTCCTTTGTCCATCTAAGTTAGGTAAATGCTTTCCAATGTCAATCTGAGGTAAATGCTGTCCATTGTCCCATGTTAATAGTAAGGAAAGCATCGTCACTATTAGGGCTGTATCAATATATCGATACGTATTGATATTTAAGAATGTATCGTATCGAAAAAATAACTTCCAATATGTATCGGATAGGCAGATTTTCTCATAATTCTGTGAAAAAGTTGGGAATTTCAATCACCAAAGATTATATTTTCACTGTTTTGAATTAAAATTGATCAGTAATGATATAATCATTAAGAGATCTTAGATAAATATTATAATATACATAGACAACTTTATTTTAACATGTTGTTTTTACAGTCAGTAAAAGTTTGAATTTGAAGTGTAATAGAGACAGTGAGACAAGACATTCGAAATGGGTTATAAAGCAATTAGTTTTGATAAAATTCATGCATTAAATGATTTATAAAACTTTTTTGATAGACTTGTTAAAGAATCCAATATATTGGATATCGCATTATAAAATATTGTATCGTATCGAATTGTTTTGCTCAATACACAGCAGGGATGGGGTAATTGAAAAAAGTTATTGTAATTAACTGTAATTAATTACATTTTTTGAAGTAATTGGAAGTAATTTGTAATTGAATATTTTTTCAATTACTTGTAATTGTAATTTAATTAATTACACTGAAAAAATACCATGTAATTTCAATTATTTTTTCAATTACATTCAGTTACTTTATATAATACACATTCGTGATATATTGTCACCACTACCTCCCCATTTTACTGGGTTTTTATTTTATTGTTAAACATATCCTCAATCCTTCAATTAAACAAAATCTTAAGTTAATGTTTACAAACAAATAATTAAATGATTGGCTTGATAATCTGGTTTCTTTCTAATCATTATGTAAATTTTGAATTTTTTGATTTATGTTAATAAATCTGAATTTTGAACCACCCTTCTTAGGTCTATTCAGCTAGGAAACACATGTTTATTATATTTCAATCTTTGTTGTTTGATCAATGATAAAGAGAAAGAAGGTGTGTGTCATTATAAAGTTCTCTCTTGTTGGGGAGTGATAATTGCCCTTCGGATCACAACTGTAAATTGCAATCAAAACAAATCAACTCCTCTAAAGAGATACTCATTCCATGATTTAGAAGACAAAGCCAATGGAGATAATTATTTCAATTTAAAATGCTCCGCTAGCTTTAGAAAATAAAAACTTTCAAGTTGATAATTATTTTAACATCTAACAGATTTTTATGAATGAATTTTTATCTGTACAAGTATTATTTATGAAGTAAAATTATTTAACATAAATAACAATTTAGGAAGTTCAGGTTACCTTCAAAGGAAATATTTAATTTGAGGGGTTACAGTTGCGACTCATTTTACTCTATTAAAATACCCACTTTTAATCAAATATCATAAACCATGCAATTTGTGTACATGTAGGTTTTGTGTGGTGGAAACTGCATCAATCTGATCTTGAATAGTTCTTTAAGAGATATTCTTTAATGTTTTGTAAATAAATGTTATAAATTAAACCACAATGATAAACAATACCTATAACATATTATTTCTTGTACTCTTTGTGCAGAGGCTGAGCTTGTATACAAATAAATGATGTTCTGTATATTTATTGACAAGGATTAGAAAAATTTTCAAAAAAAAATTAAAATTGTAATTTAATTAATTACTTTTGCAAAGTAATTGTAATTTAATTAATTACACATCTTAGAAAGCCTATAATTTAATTGTAATTTAATTGAAGAAAAAGTCAAAGTAATTGTAATTTAATTAATTACTTTTTAAAGTAATTGACCCCATCTCTGATACACAACCCTAGTCACTATTAAGAGAACTGTGAATTGATAATACATGTAATTGTTATGAGTTTTCTCTCCATCCAGAACAGTTAATCTTTGATCTTGACAAGTTATAAAGGTTAATGTTATAATATATTTATATAAACAAATTGAAGACTGCTTTTGTAAAATACAGAGAAATTCAGTACACAAACAAGAGAGTGTCAACATAAATATTTATAGAATACAGTCTCAAGAGAGTAGAATTTGTTGATCTAAGAATTCTAACACGATTGATCACTCTAGGAATGACAAAGGTGAAGATATCCAAAGAAGAATCTAACACAGCCGATTTCATACAACGAAGAAGAGCAGCATTAGAAAGGTCGGAGCTCTGAGAATATCTGTAGTCTTAGAAAAAGTGTTGGTCCATGGAATTTATAATTGAATGTGGTCAATGCTAACAGTCAAAGATAAGAGCGCCATGTTTTTTTATACAACAGATACCTGAACAGAACTGCTAGCCACCCTGTTCTACAGATCGATCCAGATTTCCGAGAATTCTTGGAGAGAGAAGGAGATCTACCAAAGGCAACCAACACTTCTGCTCTGAGTGGAGCTGGTGTGATGCGACTCTTCCATAAAGTTGGGGATGTAGTGGAGAAAATTGCTTTCAGAATGGACGAGTCAGATGAGGTGGGTAGAGTAATCCCCCTTTGTTTTGTTGCCTTTAGTTTTCTGTTTGGCCAGTTTACCATATATCTCAGCTGAGTTTCTTTTTGTTTGACATCACTTCATATTGTCACCTTTTTTCTTAATTATATAATACTCTATATTGTCAAATTGAGTGATAGGATTGCCCATTAAGGTGTACAAAATTGGTGTTTATTAACAGGTAATTTAGAAAACCATCACGATGGTAGTATTTAGTTGTTATCCTTACAATGGAGTCTTTCCATTTTTTTTTCAAAGAGCATACATACATACGTGTATATATATATTTGATATTACAAGTACTTGTTCAGTTGAAATTTGGTATCTCGAACATTGATATCTCAATTATGATGGATTTGGAAGTCGGAACTGCATTTTGTATTTTAACTTCAATATCTTTAACCCTCATATCTGAAATTTTTTTTCTTGTACCCATCAAGTTCTAAATAACAAGGTTTAGTTGCAAATTGACTTTTAATCATTATTGATACATTGGTTGTATTTGTGTTGTCTTTTTTTACATCATTGTAAAAAACATAGTGAAATTTTGAATAGCTGATGCTTTATTTCTGTTCAATACTTCCCGGCAATCAAAATCAGTGGGAGCCCGAGGTAAAAATCCAGGCTGGTGCATGTTCTGTCATTCCTCCCTCAGTTATTACAAGGGAGTGGTTATTATTTGTAGAGTTTAGCTGTTATTTATGTATGAAGGGTGTCCCAATGAATGGTAGGCTTTGCTTATGCATTAAAACTAAGAAATGTACATGTTCTTCACCCAAATTTTGACTTAAACTCTATACATGTTTTTATTTCCTGTAAGCATGTTTAGAAACTTAAATAAATATATTTCTAAGATAAAGCTTTGGCCATCATTGTCTAGAAGAATATCATATAATATCTTGTGGCACACATTGACATCAAATGTTGATTGTAAGGTTTTATAGAATGTAAAATTCCCAGAACATTCACCAGCAAGCCAGTCTTATTTTGGTAGCAAATTAACCGATTTTCACAGAAATTTAATATTTTGTACATAAGAACATTTGGTATGTAATTTTGCAAATTACATACAAATTGTGTCTAGCAAAAAAAAAAAAATAAATAAATATTCAAGACACCTTCAAAAACGTGTTTGATGATCCAGTTGATGATATTTCAGATGTCTGTTATCTTTTTTGAAGATCCCCAATCAACTCATTTTGATGGGTGGTCACACCACTTGAGAACTAATCTTTTTATGCTTTATGCATTTACTACATACATGTTTCAGGGTTTTGCCACTTATTGTACCAAATTTTGCCATTATCGTAATGTTCGTGGGGTTTGTTTTTCAGAAACTATTAATTTATGTAAATCTTGATGGGCAGTATTGAACTCCAAATGCACAAATATAAATAAGTAAATGGATGACAATTTGACATGATGACTTTAAATTCATCACATGTTTAGTCTTATTCAAATTTGAAATAATATTATTCACCAGCATAACTAAAATATAGTTGTTGCCTATCAGTTAAGGTTTCCATATACTCTGAGGGTGCACCATATATACTTACTGGGTTGAAACATCCTCCAAAAGTATCAAATTTATAAACAATTAAAATTTTGTGATTAAGCAAAATTAAGGTTACAAAAGTTTTTAAAAGTAAAAATAAACATGTATTTAAGTAAATGTTCTATTAGGTCGACATGGTTACAGCTACATATTATATTCCACTCTTTATGGGACACCCTTCATACTAACTACATCGGTTTAGCCACATTTGTTATGATTTTTTTCTTTGTTATCAGAATAATTAGATATTGTTATATGTATATATTTTATACTAAGTATGTACATTTTTGTATGTATTATGTATTGCTTTTATTATGATTCTTGTCTTTCATTGACACAATGGTCATTCTGTTAGATTTGCCATTTTAAATGTAGCATTTTTAGCAATGTTGTATATTATGGCCTTAAATTTACTTTATTCTTTTTCATAGAAAAATTCTATTTTCATCTAAGGAAAGCAATTTTATCATTTTTTATAGCACAAAATTTATATTTCTTTCATTAACATTTTTTTTCAACTAATATTCTTAACAGAACACCATATTATACCAAAAAATTTTTAATTTAATAAATGAGAAAAAAGGCTTTATGTTGTTACAATGATATTGAGCTTGTTAACAAACACCGGTATATATTTTTTACTGTTGATGTATGTGTAAATTTAAAACTGTACTTTTCAGTAGCTATAACTTTTGGTGTATTGTTCTTGATTATGGATTGTGTTTGTTTTCAGTGGTTTGAGGAGAAACAGAATCAGGTGGAGAGTTTGGAGAACCACCTGAGGAAGCTTCATAGTAGTATGGAGTCTCTGACACAACACAGGAGAGGTACTGACCTTGTATAGTATTGTTATTTGTGTCACCACATGTAGACCTTAATCCTGATTCTCCTCCTAATGAATCCCAGTCAGAGGTTACTGTGATTGGGTTCTTCATGATTACAATGGTGTTCATTCAGAATTACTCAATTTACTAATTATATAATAGTGTACTTTGCATGCACTATGCCTAAATAATAGTCAGGGTTTGACACATGGTGCACGAGCCAGAGGCGAATGCACTATGTGTCAAACCCTGATTACTATTTAGGCATAGTGCATGCAAAGTACAACACTATTGTTATTATTATGCTGACTGTTGTATAAAAACGAAAATATTTTCTCCATTTTCAATGTTTCATCACCTCTTACATTCATGTTAGTACACCCCTATTATGATGTCACGTTGTGCTACTTGTACGTCATAATCTTTTTTCCTTAATTTTGAATGTTTCATGCGTTAGGTATAATGTACAGATAGTTTCAGAGAATTTTAGTTGAGTGAAGGATTGCAAGAAACTATTTTAGAAAAATTATTTTGTTTATTTTTTTACTTTAAGTGTGAAATATTTAAAACTAAGTTTATATTAATTATAATTCAGTGTTTTAGATAACGGCGTCTGTGGCGTAATCGGTAGCGTGTCAGACTGACGATCTCAGGGTCGTGAGTTTGATCCCCAGCGTGGGGCTGTCAGATTTTCTTCAGAAAAATAAGCCGTGCACTATTTTGGCATAGTATGCTTACGCTATATAAATCCTTAGAACACTATGCAAAAACAGTTGGGTATTGATTATATAGAGACAAACTGACAGGAAGCATAATAATAGCTTATATACTCACAGACTAGGAGAGGTTGAGTGTTGTGGATACTGGTGTAATATATACAGTAGCTAAAGTAGTTTAACCTTACCAGCTGATCTGCTTATTTATACTTTGTAATTTGACTGACCAGTGACAGACAGCATTGTCAGAAACAAAGATATGCACTATTTTTGTCCAGACCCAGTGTTGGATTTCATTAAAATCAAAGAAAAAAGTTTTATGAAAAGAAAAACATTGAGTTAGAATTAGATGCCACTGGTCAGAAAAAGAACATGTTTCAATTTGATTTAAAGGTGCATAGACACAGATTTGAAGTTTATATTTTCTCAAATTTTCTGTATCATATCACAACTTATATGTTACTATAGCATTTTACATGAAAATAAAATTAAAAACTTATTTAATCTGGAAATTATTGAAACTACGAAATTCAGGAGGCATTTGATTAACACATCCTTGCACTTTCACAATTTTTAACTTAATCCTTAATACTTAAGAAAAGTAGCAATTTTGTTGTGTATTAATGAATAATATTACATCTATAATCCAGAAAATTCAGAGTAAAAATATGCAAAAGCAAAACCCACTCACTTAAGTATTTTCAGCCCGTGCTCAGTGTTGTGTAGTTGTGTACAGAGTTTAACAAATTAAATACACCCGTGAAACGTAAACTGTTTTTGTAAACAGGGCACGAGCTCTGTTGTTGTTAATGTTTACGTTTCACCGGGTGTGTTCAATTGTTAAACTCTGCACACACCACTGAGCATGGACTGACAATACTGGTGAGAGGATTTTGCTTTCTACATTTCTACTCTGAAATTTCTGCATTATAGCTTTAATAATTTTCATTAATAAACAACAAAATTGCTATTTTTCTAAAGTAATAAGGATAAAGTTAAAATTTGTGAAAGTGCAAGGATGTGTCTATCAAACACGTCCAGAAATTCAAAGTTTCAATAACTTCCAGATAAAATAAGATTTTTATCAAATTTTCGTATGAAATGCTATAGCTGCAACATATAAGTTATGAAATTACACAGAAAAATTGAGTAAATATTAACTTCAAATCTGTTTCTAAGCACCTTTAAAAAAAAACAGTATGTTTTATTTGCAAAAAAAAAAAAAAAAAAAATGAATTGAAAAAAACCCATCCATATTCTGTTTTGTAGAGCTGAGCAATATGACTGCTCAATTTGCCAAGAGTACGGCCATGTTGGGTACTGCAGAGGAACACACGGCTTTGTCTCGAGCTCTCTCCCAGCTCGCAGAAACCGAGGAGCGGATCGAAACTGTTCATGCTGACCAATCAGATCATGATTTCTTTATAATGGCAGAGTTGTGCAAAGACTATGTAGCACTTCTTGGGGCTGTGAAGGTATTTTATCCCGTATTTCAATGGCTATGAAGGTTCTAGGATTTGATACATGTAATGTGATCTTCATTTGTACAGCTTGAACTTGATAAAAATACCTTTGAAAATGATATTTGGAATAGTAGAAACATTGATATCAACACAAACCAATTACTTAAATTGGGGCTTAAGGACCCTCTATACACTGCACAATAAAATATTCTAATTCCATGGTATTTTTAGCTCACCTGAGCTGAAGACTTAAGTGAGCTTTTCTGATTGAAGAGTGTCCGGCATCTGTCTGTCGTCTGGTGTCTGTAAACTTTTCACATTTTCAACTTCTTCTCCAGAACCACTGGGCCAATTTCAACCAAACTTGCCCCAAAGCATCATTGGCAGACGGGAATTCAAGTTTTTTTCACAGGAAGTGCCATGCCCTCTTTCAAAGGGAGATAATTAAGAGTTCATGAAAATTTGGTGGCATCTTTTAAAAATCTTCTCAAGAATCACTAGGCCAGAAAAGTTGGAATTTATGTGAAAACTTTATTACATACTGTAGATTTAAGTTTGTTCATATCATGGCCCTGGGGAAGGGTGGGCCATAACAGGGGGGTCAAATTTTTATATAGGAATATATAGGAAATATCTTATGTTTAGTCATATTTATATGGAAGCATCCTCAGGTCGTGTAGAATCAAGTTTGTTCAAATCATGACCGCTTGGGGTTGGTCCACAAAAAGTGATTCAAGTTTTACACAAGAATATGTAGGAAAAAGAATCTGCTGATGAAGTACAGAAGGGTCATAGTTATTCAGGTGAGCATTGTGGCCCATGGGCCTCTTGTTATGCAGTTAGAGTGATCTGCCCTTAGATCTGGAATGAAATAAATTGAAATCTACAGAGCATATAACAATTTGTAATAAATTCAGTCTTTCTTAATTTTTTATTAGGCCAAGATACATTAACTGAATGATTTATTTGCATGTATTTTCCCATTTAATTAAGCACCAGTGATTTCTATTCATCAGTATTTGTTTTCTTTTAACATTTTTTCCTCGGAATAAATGGCAGGTACCCTCTGCTGGAAATGAAAAAGATAAAGTCAGTATTTAAATATTTTTTGCGATATAATTTTCTCAATGTCCAAAATTTATTTATCACCAATGTATAGAGGGTCATGAGTGCCTGTACATTCGGCTACAATCAGGTATTGATTTGTATTTCCAGGAAGTATTTCATGAGAGGGTCAAATGTTATAAATCATGGAAGGAGGCAGAGGCCACATTGACCAAAAAAAGAGAGAACAAAGCCAAACTAGAGATTGCTCGTAAAATGGACAAAGTACCACAGGCTCAGGATGAAATTTCAGAAGTATGTACATGTAAATAGCTGAGAAAAATATCTAGCTCTTTAGTCATAGTATGCCACACTACTGTGAACTTCATTTGTCAATAGTGCAGTAAAATAGACTTAGCAAATTTAAGTCCTGATTGATCCCTCTTAAAAGACTGTTCTGTTTCAATTTTATTCCTTACATAGTGGGAAATGAAGGTGGATAAAGGAAAGGATGAGTTTGAGAAAATTTCCAAAGCCATAAGGAAAGAGGTAGCAAGGTTTGACAAGTTTAGAGTGGAGGACTTTAAAGATAGTGTTGTGTCATACTTGGAGCAGCTGATGGAGAATCAACAAAGGGTAGGTTGAACAGAACTTCCAGCTTATCTCAAATCTTTTCATTTGATTTTTCTTCCTTTTACAAATAAAACACCCTTAAGAACAAATTTTTTTGGCTGTTAAAAAAAAGCTGTAGTATGGTATATATTTACTTTGAATTACAACAATGATTATGAGGTTTGTATTTTGCCCTGTTCATTACAGATAATGAAGTGCTGGGAAGCATTCCTTCCAGAAGCCAAGGCCATTGCTTAGCTCCTAGTCAACTAAGGATAATTTTATCTTACATTGTATGATATGCTTGATTTTGTTCATGAGATTGCAGAATTCAGAATCGGTGCAGACATCTGACAAGGGGAGAACAAGCTTGATAGACAATTGTGCAATAAGAACATCTTGAACTGACTGAAAAAAGACATAATATTCTGTTATTATGAAGATTGATGATAATATACTACATACATTCCACTGGAAATAGCAGTGCAGTGGTCAGCTGTAGTCTATTGCAACATTAATTTTATGTCAAATAAATTATTACGTACATAATGATAATTTGTTTGCTTAATTATTATTGCATAAGTGTCCACCATAAATTATGTGATAAATGCTATGTTTTAATGACAATTTTATGGAAATTCCTTGAATTTAT